GGCGCGATCTCGGCTCATTGCAACCTCTGCCTCCTGAGTTCAAGCGATTCTCCTGCCTCAGCCTCCCCAGTAACTGAGATTACAGATGCCCACCACCACGCCTTGCTAATTTTTTTTGTTGTTTTATTTTTGTAGAGATGGGGTTTCACTATGTTGGCCGGACTTGTCTCAAACTCCTGACCTCAGGTGATCCACCCACCCTGGCCTCCCAAAGTACTGGAATTCCAGGCGTGAGCCACCACACTGGCCTGCTTATGTTTTGAGAGCTTAAAAGAAAGTGTTCTGGGCCAGGCGCGGTGTCTCACACCTGTAATCCCAGGACTTTGGGAGGCCGAGGAGGGCAGATCACAAGGTCAGGAGATCTAGACCATCCTGGCTAACACGGCGAAACCCTGTCTCTATTAAAAATACAAAAAATTAGCTGGGCCTCATGGTGGGTGCCTGTACTCTCAGCTACTCGGGAGGCTAAGGCAGGAGAATGGCGTGAACCTGGGAGGTGGAGCTTGCGGTGAGCGGAGATCACGCCACTACACTCCAACCTGGGCGACAGAGCGAGACTCCATCTCAAAAAAAAAAAAAACAAAAAGTGTTCTCGGTTGGGTGAAGTGGCTCACCCCTATAATTCTAACACTTTGAGAGGCTGAGATGGGAGGATCACTTGATACCAGAAATTCGAGACCAGTGTGGGCAACATAGCAACATAGTGAGACCCCATCTCCACAAAAAATAAAATATTAGCCAGAAGGCTGAGGCAGGAGGATTCCTTGAACCCAAGAGTTTGTAGCTGCAGTGAGCTATGCTTATGGCAGTGCACTTCAGCCTGGGCAGTGGAGTGAGACTTTGACTCAAAAAAAAAAAAAGGTGTTCTAACTACAAGTCCCTTTTGCAAATGTTTACTCCAGTTGGTGGATTTTACTTCTCTTAGCAGTATCTTTCACAGAGCAAAAGCTTTAAATTTTGATAATACCCAGTTTATCCTTTTTTTTTTTTTTTTTAAATGAAGTGGGCTTTTGGTATTGTGTCTGAGAAGTCTTTGCCCAGCCCAATGCCACAAAGATTTTTCTCCTAGAAATTTTATATTTTTACATTTTAAAACAGAGGTCGGCAGTTTTTTTGTGTGTGAAGAGCCAGATGGTAAATATTCTCAGCTTTTTCGGCCATACGGTTGCTACTACTTAACTCTGTTATTGTGGTACAAAACTATCTATAGACAGACAATACATAAACAAATGAGACAGGCCGTGTTCCAATAAAACTTTATTTATAACAACAGGCAATGGGCCAGGTTTGTCCCACAGGCCATGATGTGTGTTTCAGAAAGTCCAATTTTCCCAAGCCTAGAGGATACCACACTGGGGACAGTAAGCCTGGGGCAGCCATTGTCCGTCTCACCGTCCATGAAAACAGAATGAGGGAAAAAGCAGAGTATATGTGTAACTCTCAGAGAAAGGGCGAGGAGAAGGAAGGGTAAAAGAAGAAAGAAGGGGAAATGCTTGAATCACATTTTGAACATGCTTCAGTGTGCATTTTAATTCTTCAGAGTTAACCCTTGTGGTCTGTTTGGATCAGCTTCCAGCAAATGTTTTTGTCTGTTTGTTTGTTTTTGAGCCAGTGATCTATTTTAAAATCTCATGGCCACAGATGGTGTAACAGACACGTGTAGTTTCTCATGATTAAACTCTGTAGGTCCCGAGCTGCTACTGAAAGTTGATATTTACCCATTCCCTATTAACGAATATTTGGAATTCTATCCAGCTTTACACTCTTATGAACCATGAGTTAGTGCCTTCCTTGCACTTTTGTTTCATTTTGTTTTCAGACAGGGTCTTGCTCTGTTGCCCAGGCTGGAGTGCAGTGGCGCCATCATGGCTCAGGCAGCCTTGATCTCCTGGACTCGAGCAATCCTCCCTGCCTTTGTCTCCCGAGTAGCTGAAACTATGGGCACGGGTCACCATGCCCACTAAATTATTTTATTTTTTGTTAGAGTCAGGGTCTCACGTTGTTGTCCAGACTGGTCTTGAACTCCTGCACTTGAGTGATTATTTCTGTAGAAAGATCCTGCAGTTGTGAGTCAGGTTATACCATCTCATACTCAGATCAGTAGCAGGTGATCTTACGCTGGATTTTATTCCATGTGACTGGCAGAAAGTAGCATCTGGTTTTCTTTTGCATTTTCCTCATTGTTCATGAAGACGAAGTTCAGTGTCTTTTTCTGGACTTATGAGCCATTTGAATTTCAGGCCTTTATTATAAATTGCCGCTGACATCCTTTGCCTACTTTGCTCTTGGTTACATCTCTTCTTTTTTTTTTTTGAGACGGAGTCTCGCTCTGTCGCCCAGGCTGGAGTGCAGTGGCCGTACATCTCTTCTTTTATCCCTTACCAATTTGTAGATGTTCCGAATCAAGTTTTCCCAACCTTGGCAGCACTAACATTTGGGGTCAGATAATTCTTGGTTGTGGGGCTGTCCTGTGCCCTGAAGGATGCTTTAGAGCTCTCTGACCTCTACCTACCAGATGTCAGTAGCACCCCCCACCGCCGACCCCTGGCCCTGACCAAGTCACATAACCAAAAATGTCTCCAGACATTGCCCAGTGTCCCCTGGGGGGCAGAATGGCCCGGGGTGAAAACCATGGGTCTAAATAATAGAATATGCAGTGAATCTTTTCTCCAGGCTACTCCTCCTCGTCTAGGTCTATGATGCCTTTTGCTGTACAGAAGTTTTTAATTTCATGGAGTCTCACTTTTCAGTCTCTTTTTCTATGGCTTTTGATGCTAACCTACTTTTTAAAGAGCGGGGAGCATAGGACATCCTCAAATAAAAGAAATGCTAGGAAATTGTACTGATTTTGCTCATTGTCTGAGAGTAGTAGGAGGGTAGGGAAGACCTGGATGTTTCCACCAGGAAGAAAGAAACCAGACCTAATTCTTCCCTCAGCGTTGATTCAGGGAGTAGGTAGGAAATCTCCACATGAGAAGTGTGTTCAGATTTTTATGTAACTGCTGGCAAGGCTATTTTTAAAGAAGGCCAAAGGCGCGTGACCGTGGGCACTGGGTGTTCAAACATAGCATAGAATTGAGCAACAGGGATCTGGGGAAAGTGGTGGGCTCTCACCGAGACCTCCAGGTGGGTGGCCATCCTCAGGGTTGACTACCTGCGTGTTTAGAGGCAGGGATTGAGGGGCCTCTGAGAAGCGAGCCCAGCATGTGGCGCACTTTCAGCAGGGCGGGCTCGGCATGCTTGGCCACATTGATCTGGACTCTTCTCCAAAGTCACCACTGGCTCTGATGTTTATCACTGAAAGGAAAGACTTCAGCAACTGAGAAAGACTTTTCAAAGCCTGCAAACTGTGAAGACCAAGTTCTCTGACTGGTAGAGAAACCCTCACCTCCTTCCAGCTCAGTCACTGCATCTTTGGGAATAAACAGATGCAGAGGACCATTGCCTGCCCGCCCCTCAGCAGCAGAGTGTCCAGGGATGGGGTTCAGGGACACCCCACAGGCTCTGGACATGGGGAGAAAGCAACCGGAAATCTGGAATGCTCTTGAGAGACAACCCAAAGGCTTTCTTACAGGATCTTAAATTGTGCTGGAATTGTTCATAGGTCTCTTCAAAGCCCTCTTAGTGAACTTGGAGTTGTTCTGTTTTGTGTCCATAGACTATTTTTTAGAGCAGTTTTAGGTTTGCAGGAAAATTGTGAAGTGGAGAACACTCGTTCCGTAGCGTTACAATGAAGTATTGACTGAATAAAATTTTTTTAAAATAGAAGCCGGACACAGTGGCTCATGCCCGTAATCGTAGCACTTTGGGAGGGTGAGACGGAAGGATTACTTGAGGCCAGGAGTTCAAAATTAACCTGGGCAAGATACCATCTCTACAAAAAGTGTTAAAAATTAGCTGGGCATGGTGGCGCATACCTGTATTCCCAACTACTCAGGAGGCTGAGGTGAGAGGATTGCTTAAGGATCTCCCAGGAGTTCAAGGCTGCGGTGAGCTGTGATGGCACCACCACACCCATTATTAGCATCTCACATTCACATGATACCTCTGTTATTCTTAGTGAATCAATATTGACACATTATTAGTAACTAAAGCCCGTAATTCAGATTAGAGTTCACTGTGTATATTGTTCATTCTATGGGTTTTGACAAACATGTATTGTCACATCCACCATTATGTATCATACAAAATAGTTTCACTGCCCTAAAACCCTGACAATCCTGTGTTCCACTATTTGTTGTCCCCCCCACCCCTGACCTGCATCCCTGGCAACCACTGATCTTTTTCTCTGTAGTGTGCCTTTTCCAGAAGGTCATAGAGTTGGAATCATACAGTATACTGTGTTCCTTCACTTAACAATATACATTTAAAGTTCCTTCAAATGTCTTACCTGGCTTAATAGCTCATTTCTTTTTATCATCAAAGAGTGTGCCTGTGTACAGCTGAACCACACGAATGAAGTCTGTTTATTCATTCACCCATTGGAGGAGATCCTGGTTGCTTCCAGGTTTTGGCAATTATGAGTGAAGCTGCTGTAAACCTCCACGTGCAGATTTTTATGTGGCTGTAAGTTAACGTGCAGTGTAGAAAAGAATCTCTTAGTGCAGGGCCAGAAGCAGGGGCTCACGCCTCTAATCCCAGCACTTTGGGAGGCTGAGGCGGATGGATCATCTGAGGTCAGGGGTTCGAGACCAGCCTGGCCAACACGACGAAACCCCGTCTCTACTAAAAATACAAAAATTAGCTGGGCATTGTGGCAGACGCCTGTAATCCCAGCTACTCAGGAGGCTGAGGTAGGAGAATCACTTGAACCTGGGATGCAGAGGTTGCAGTAAGCCGAGATTGTGCCACTGCACTCCAGCCTGGGTGACGGAGTGAGACTCTGTCTCAAAAATAAACAGAAAGAAAGAAAAATTTTTAAGTGTAAATGCAGTTTCTAGTTTTGCCTTCATATACTGCAATATGAACATTTTGAATTTACTTGCTCCTTTTTCCTTTGTAGATTTTTGAAAAATACAATGTCTAATGGTTATGAAGACCACATGGCCGAAGACTGCAGGGGTGACATCGGGAGAACGAATTTGATCGTCAACTACCTCCCTCAGAACATGACCCAGGATGAGTTGCGCAGCCTGTTCAGCAGCATTGGCGAAGTGGAATCTGCAAAACTCATTCGGGATAAAGTAGCAGGTAAACATATGGAGGCGTTTTAGTAATTTAGTATTGGTGGCCATCCGGTGGGCATTGTCTCTTCTGCCTGTGACTCTGGCATTCCTCAGTGCAGGATGACTACAGCCTTGAAACGATGGCTGTGGAGTTTCATTTTTATTTCAAACTCCATTTGTCCATTGCTCTTGTATGAGATCAGACATAAGTTCCCAAAAGAGGAAAAATTCATTGTAAGACAGAGAGCGTGTACAAAATAAGACATTGCGAGGAGAGGAAGGAACCAGAGACAGGGCATTCTGAGAACTGGAAGGGGCCGGAGAACCACAGCCTGACCTGGCTTGGCCTGGGCAGGTCAATTGTGTCCGATGTGTGGAAGGGACCCCGGCGAGTGTACTGTCCAGGGCAGGCGCAGGCAGGCCCGCCCCTGTCTGTCCAGACCCCCACGTTTGGTCAGGCCTAGGTCAGCAGAACACCGACGACCTCGTGGACAGCCCTTCATTATGTTTGGGCTGCTCTGTTTACTGTCAACGCCATCAACTTGAACTTCTGCACCATGCTGAGCTTGAACTCTCAGAGGGGCAGGTTCCTGGCAGCTGAAAGCCCTGATGTTCCACTCCCTCACAGTGGGATTTCTAAGCCTCTGTGTCCCCATCCGGAATGTGGAGATTGTGGCTCCTACATCCTGGTGGTCCCTACCTCATAGGTGTTTGCAGAGGGCCTGGCACCTGTGAAGGCCCTCCTTACAGAGTGGCCTCCATTCTGAGAGTGTGGCTTCAAGGACTCTGGAGAGAATTACAGACAGACCATGTGTGGAGCTGTCCTCCTCCTCCTCTCCCAGTGCCCCCTCTTCCTCCTCCTCCCTCTACCCACCACCACCCCCCTGCCTTCCTTTCTGTCTCCACCCTGCTTTTAGGAAGCCAAGGAGTGGCTATTCCTCTCCGGGCTGTGGCTGCTACCCTGGATTTGGGGACTGTGATTCCCTATACTGAAAACTCATTTCAGGCCGGGCATGGTGACTCACACCTGTAATCCCAGCACTTTGGGAGGTCGAGGTGGGAGGATCACTTGCTCAGGAGTTCAAGACCAGCCTGGGCAACATGGTGAAACCCCATTTCTACGAAAAATACAAAAACTTAGCTAGGCGTGGTGGCCCGCATTTGTGGTCCTGGCTACTTGGGGGGCTGAGGCAGGAGGATTGCTTGAGTCTGGGGGGTTGAGGTTGCAGTGAGCCGAGATTGCACCTTACTAAGTACCACTTGGTACTAAAGTGTCTTCTACACTTGAGCGTGGGCAACATAGTGAGACTTCGTCTCAAAAAAAAAAAAAAAAAAAGAGAGAGAACTAATTTAAAAGTTAAACGCTGGGCACAGTAGCTCATGCCTGTAATCTCAGCACTTTGGGAGGCCAAGGCAGGCAGATCACCTGAGGTCAGGAGTTTGAGACCAGCCTGGTCAACATGGAAAAACCTCATCTCTACTAAAATACAAAAGTTAGCCAAGCATGGTGGCGCATGCCTGTGATCCCAGCTACTCGGGAGGCTGAGGCAGGAGAATCACTTGAACCTGGGAGGCGGAGGTTGTGGTGAGCTGAGATTGCGCCACTGCACTTCAGTCTGGGCAACAGAGTGAGACTCTGTCTTAAAAATTAAATGAAAGTTAAAAAAAGTTTCTATTATGAAACGTTTCAAGCATACATGAACATAGGGCGATGTGTTGGACCTAATGTGCCCATCGATGCACTTTATCTTCAACAGTTCCCCAGTAACCATAAGACACCTGACCCCCCAGTGACTCCCAAAGAGTCTGTCTGGCGGCTGTACAGGGAATTCACATGCGGGCACTGAATACAAAAGCCTTCTCTCCTTCCAACTCCAAGAGTCTGATTTAATAAACGCCTTCTCAATAGGGATTTTACGCAGTATACAAACTTAAGCAGTGTTGGAATGTTCTAGAAGCCAGCATCTCTCTCCTGCTCCAGGAGACCATCCTGAATAAGAGAAGGGTTTAAAAATTCTCCTGTGCCACTAACAAGTCTCACCTTTTTCCTCTGACTTTCTGGTGGAAGGGAATTTTCCTTGATATTCCTGAGCACTGGAGATTTTGCAAGCATTCCCACAGAATTTGCAGTCGTTCTCCTGGAACCTGACTTCTTTGTCTATTCCCTTGTGGTTTTCACAGGAATGTGAGCCATGCTAATAGAAACACCTAGATTTGGCTCAGTCTGGAGAAAACTGGTTTTGAGAATCAGTGAAGTCTGCAAAAGTGTAATTTGGAAATTATTTCAGTTCAGAGGTGAGCTCTGTCTTATCTTTGGACAGTAGTTAGTAACTGGCACACCAGGAGTTGTGGAGTGGCTGGGCCTGGGCTTTCATCTTGGCCCAGCCTCTTGCTAGCAGCTCTTCAAGTGACTGGAGCTTTATGGAGAACATGCTGCAACCTGGCTTTGCTCAGCCTGCCACCAATGTGGGCAAACCTCTTTGCTGGCAGGGCCCAGGGCGTGGCCCTAGGTCTCACCACCCCTCTCCCCAGCCAACTGCTTTCTCCAGCCCCCCAGGATAGCCTCTCACCCGGCCAGGCAAGCACCCCGGCAAATCTGATGCCTGGTCTAGCTTATCTTACAACACGGGTGTCCCGGAGCCCCACAGGAGCCATTTCCCTGTGTTTACCCTCCTCAGGCCTCCAGCCACCCACTTCACCCTCAGCTGATGACACCTCCCGCTTCGCAGTGGAACTGACAGCATTTCCAGCTCTCCAACTCCAATCCTTCCTTCCCTTCCCTTCCCTTCCCTTCCCTTCCCGGCTTCCCAAGAGCCTCAGGCTCTCCAAGTGCCCACTTTTCCTGGGCTTCGAGTGTCTTGAAAGGAATTCCTTCCAGATTCCCAGCTTCCTCTAGCTTGGAGTTCCTCCACGTCCATGCTCCTGACGTCGGGACTGGACACCATGCTGGACGCTGCAGGTGTTGAGCAGCATCCTGGCCTCCACTCACGTGGTCCCAGCAGTGACTTCCCAGTGGTGAAACCCAATAATGTCCTTACATTGCCGCATGTCCCCTGGGAGGCAGTCTCCCCGAGTGAGAGCCACTGCTGTGTGTGTTGGCCTCCCACCCACATACTGTCCTGTTCCCTGTCTCTTCCTTCCAGAAGCATCTTCTCCCATTGGCTTTCAGGAGCACCACCTCCTCCCACCTGTCTGACTGCCCCTGAGGCTGTCTGTCTTTAGCACCTTTCCCCAGCCTTTGACTCAGCCGGTTATGCCAGAGGGTTATGCTCAGAGGATTATGCCAGAGGGTTATGCCATTGTCCTCTTCTTCCAAAGCCGACATTCAGCGTGGGCAGAGTCACTCCATGGCTCCCAGCTGCCCTTTGTCTACCAGCTCCTTTTTGACCAGAAAGCTGTCCTGAGCTCCAGATGCCCTTGGCCCCTCAAATGCAGTATATTCCAAACTGACCTGAGTCTCCCTAAAGCCAGCTGCTCATTTCCAGTTGTCCCCACCTTAGCCGATGGCACCACCATCCACTTGGTAGCTCTGCTCAGAAATCTGGGAGTGTCCTTGGCTCTCGTCCTCCTGGGTGTTTCTTCAGTCTATCCCTTTCCCCTCTCTCCTCAGCCACCATTCTAGCCCAGGATACCACTGCCTGTGGCCCGTGCGTCGTTTTGGCCTCTTAACTGGCCCCCTGTGCTCCCTGAAGACCACTCTCCTCACTGCAGCAGAGGGGCCTGTTTGACAGCCCGCATGTGTCCCTGTCACTCCCCTCCTCAAACCATTCACGTCCTGGCCCTGTTTGCTTAAGGAGGCCTCCCCTGGCCCAAGTGTCGGATGCTCCGCTGTGGGTTCCCATGGCACCTGGGCCGACCTGCACTGTGGGGTTTCCACCCGGCACTGAGCTGGAGCTTTCTGGTCCAGCACATCAGTATTGCTCCTGGAGGCAGGAGCTTTGTTAGTCTCTGTAACCCTAGACATAGCCAGTCGGTGTTTGCGGAGTGAAGGAAGGAATGAATGAATGAGTGGTACTGGGGAGGAGGAGAGTGCAGATCATCATTCAGCAAATCCTGGTTGAGTGCCAGCCATGGGCTGGGCACTGGTGGCAGGAGGAAGGAGGGGCGTGGTGATGGCTGGGAGGAAGGGACTGCCCCATGTGCCGCCCTCAAGACTCGGATTGTTTCTGGCTGGCCTGGCCCTGGTCCCTATGTTGGGGATATGGTGTTGGTTGGTTGTTGGCTGTTCCACCTACAAACACCAGCTAAGGAGGCCACTGCAGCACCCAGTGGTCCTGCCCGCTGCCTTCCTGGGCAGCCCTGCCCTGGTGTCTGGTCTCTCCACGGTGGCCCCATATGTCCCTCAGGAGATCAGAAGGAATGAGCCCGCCACCCTCATGGACGGCCTGTCATGCTGGAGCCACCAGGCTGCAGCCCCGTTCACGGCTTCTGTCTTGCTGTGTATCTCTGGTCGGGTTAAAGTCCGCATCCCTGCCTGGGGCTCCCGAGAGCCCTCGGCGCTTGCCCCCTCTCCCCGCTTGCTGCACTCCTCCAGTCAGGCCCTATTCTTAGGCGCTCGTGATTCTCTGAACACTGTTCCCTCTGCAGGAATGCCCTTCCGGGCTTTCCCAGCCTTACGGCTTTTTTCTTAATATGAGTCATGTTTACTTCTCACAGAAAAAAACTTAAGCATGAGCCAAGCAAAAAAAAAAAAAAAAAACAATCACCTACAATGACACCGCTGTTAGCTTTTGGGCACATGTCCCTCCAGATGATTTTCTTTACGTATTTGTGGCCATAAGCAGTCATGTACTTCTATAGAATGGGCTCTCCCCTCAGGCTGCAGATAAACTTTCCTTCCTATATCTGGACATTTTTCCACTTCGCTGAACATCTTGGGATCCCATCATTATGCAGTCACATAGTATTCTGCTTTCCATTTGTTGATATTTGAAAGACCCGCTGAGTTAAATGTCCTGGCACAAATCTTTGCTCATTGGTTATTTCCATAGAAAGTCTTCCTGCCTTCGAAGCAGCAGATGGGAG